TCTTCAACTAAAATCTCAGTGTATGTGTATGTGTATTTGTAAGAAAGATAAGTTAACTGTGTAGTAATCAATACATGATGAACTATGCCTTTAGCCAACGCTTATTCAACACTCTTTTGAAGTTAATTGAATTTGAGATTTTCCCGTCGATGGATTGGACCGAAAGTGCTCGGTCTCAGGTTGACATGTCTGTTGGCTTCTTGTGCAGATGATTCGACGATGTCTGGGTATTTAATTCGAATTTAATCGGTGGATGGTGACTAGCAGTGGAATCCATGATGTGCATTTTGCCTGTCCTATTTGGGAATCGTCAGCTGGATGTACCTGCATTCCTCACTGAGTGATGATGTTCCCACCGAGGCTCGAACCCCAGTGCCCATAGTCAACCTGAAACCGAGCACTTCAGTGCAATCAATCGACGGGAAAATCTAAAATTCAGTTAAATTATTATGACCCGTTGCACAAGAGGTGGCTGTCGTGGCCCAAGTGGTCTAGTGGATAACGCTTTGAAATTATGGACACTGGATTCTAGCCTCGATGGGAACATCATAATTCACTGAGAAATGCAGGTACATCCAGTGGCGGGTCCCAAATAGGACTGTGGAAATTCGCATTGTGAATTCCACTGTTAGTCACCATCCATCAATAAATACTTTTGAAGTCAATTAGAGAATCAATGGAAACCAGGGTCTCTCGAATTGGTAGTGCCGCCCACCCAACGGGGTTCAAACCCAGGGCCTTCTGGTTTCAAGACGAGCTTGTTCATCCACTGGGACTGGCTACAGGAAGAGGGGGTTTGGAGTTCTAGTGAGGAATTGTGACCGATAACATCCACCCAGTCGTCGATGGGGACAAATACTCACCGACGACACTGGCTGGTGCCAGTCACGAATTGGTAGAAGTTGGAATTTGTGGGCTACTGAGTCCAGTCTCAGCAGCTGAATGGTCTATGAGCCGCCTCCCTTGTAACCAGAAGGTCCTGAGTTCAAACTGTGGTGTGTGTGTGTGCCTGTGTGTGTACAACCGAAAAGTCTCCAAATAGAGTGAAACAGCTGTCCATAGACCATGGAACCAAATTATGAAGCCGTTTGACTAACTAAATTGACATGATTTTATACAAGTATAATTGGTGCTCAATACATTATCCAGTTATTAATACTGCATCACTATTGTGTTAAGATGAAGTAAAAGGTTGGCATCTGATTTTCAGAATTTCAAGATTACTTGTTATTATTCATTATAATAAAGGTTTTTGTATTTCCCAATGAATGAAAAACAAAACGATATTCTTGTTTTTACTGACGTTTCGCTATTTAATGCTGCTGCTAATAGCTTTATCAAAGAATTATTAAACCAGAGTTTACAAAATCTCAGCATATATACAACAAAGAGTTAAGAGGTGAGAAAATAGACTACTTAAGTCAAGTTAAAGGGACATATTGAAAGTTAAAATAACAATGAAGATCACTAAATCAAACAACAAGGTAATAGTACGTCTGATATGATATCAAAACAAAGTTTACTAACTTGATCACCGTTCGTTAGTCTGGGGTCATTTTTCGTTGTCAAGTTGGTCAGTTGGTAAAGATAACAAAATCAAGTGTAGATTGTTGGATTTGATCAGTGTGTAAAGTTATAAAAGCAGTGCGTGTTTACATAGTGAACTTGCTTATCACATTCGTGTTGATTTTGTCACTTCATGGGGGAGGGAGGTGTTGTAACCATGTCAGATTCTGTTTTAGTCCATCATTCCTATTCAGGCAATTTGGATTCCACTTGATATGAAGTGCTTCTGATGATATGAGACGTTCTTTGTGATTTCTGAATTTTCTCTGGAGATGATTTCAATATTGTCAAAATCAATTTTGTGGCGTGATTCTATAGTGTGTAGACCTATGGCTGATGATTTTTCAAGTTTTTCTAGTTCAGTTGGATTTCTTGGTGGTCGAAGAGATGCTCTACGGTGTTCATTTCTTCTGATTTTGATTTCGCGAGATGTTTGTCCGATGTAGATCGCATCACATTCCAAGCATTTTATTTTATAGACACAATTAGATAGAGAATCTTTCGGAATTTGGTCTTTTATATGGACAAAGTTGTTTTGAAGTGTGTCCGATGTTTTGAAGAAAACTCTAATGTCGAGCTGATTGAGTACTCTTCTGATATCGTCTGACGTCTCTGCTCTATATGGAATGACGACTGTTGATGTCCATGTTTTTGGAATGCGTTTTCGGCCATACTTAATGTCTGTGTTGATTTTGTGGATGAAGTTCCTTGGGTAGTTGTTTTGCTTCAGAGTTTCAGTAATATTTGATATTTCTTCTTCTTTTTCTTGCTCATCCGTTATCAGAGAGTGTGCTCATCTAAGAAGACTTGAAACAACTGAAATCTTTGCGCTGATGGGGTGTGATAATTTGAAGTCTAAATATTTATTGGAGTGGGTTTTCTTCCTGAATATGAATATACTAAAATGTCCGTTTTCCTTTCTCTTAACTAGGCAGTCTAGAAATGGTAACTCACCGATGTCTGATTCTGCTTCCGAAGTGAACTGGATTTTGGGAGATACACAGTTTATTTTCTCCAGGAATGAATTGTGTAGATCTCGTTTTAGTACTACAAAAGTATCATCCACATATCTTAACTATATTTTAGGAGTGAGTATGCTTGAAAAGATATTATTTTCGAATTTATTCATGTAAAAGTCGGCGACTATTGGAGAGACTGGTGAACCCATAGCAACACCATTTGTCTGTCTATATAAACTTCCTTTAAATGTAAAATAATTACTTTCTAGACAGAATTTTAAGGTTTTCATTATTTCACTGGTGTCTGGTGGACATCTTTGTGGTCGTATTGTGTCTGGTTATAGTAAACTGAAAGTGATATCAAGACTTTCGGTAATAGGGATACTGGTATATAATGAGTTAATATCATGTGCGTCGGTGGCACAGTGGTTAGGACTCCCGCCGACCATGCACATGGTCCGAGGTTCTATCCCCTGCCGACGCATACCTGATATCTGTGGTCGGCCTGCAAAATTTGGGCTACCGATATCCATGCTGAAAATTCCATACTTGTACCAAAAATACACTGTGGAATCAAGCTGTAATCAAAAATAAATAAATAAATAGCTTGCCATAAAATCTTCTTTATCAATTTATTGGTGTTCTATTTGGGATTTGAAATCATATGAATTTCTTACAATATTTTGAGTGTCCTTTTGTAGTGGTTGTAGTACTGAGAGTAAGTATTTAGAGAGGTTGTATGTCGGTGAGTTGGTGAAATCTATTACTGGTCTTAATGGAACTATGGATTTATGTATCTTTGGTTGACCGTAAAATCTTGAAGGTGTATAAGATTTTGGTTTTAGTTTATCATTATCATTATTTACGACAAGTCGTTTCTTTGCAATTCTTATTTTAACTACGTAACAGTTACCTCATCCTCATGCAAACATAAGAGAAAAGGAAAATTATTTTTGAGATGCGCTCTGAACGCTCGGTTCACATTCAACGATACCATCTACAGACAAAAGGATGGTATTGCAATGGGATTTCCGTTGGGTCCACTACTATCAGACTGCTTCGAGGCAAGCCTCGAGAGAGGTCTACTAAAGCCGAGAATTGACAGTTTGCAACTGTATAAAAGATACATAGACGACATATTCATTATCTGTGACAACAGCAAAGACCCCAATCTACTGCTGAAGACATATAACAGTTGCCATCCAGCAAAAAAATTCACTCTTGAAATGCTAAACGAATCAGAAATTCCGTTTCTTGATGTGGAACTAACAAGAAGAACTGATGGGAGTCTAAGAAGATCAATCCATAGAAAACCTACGTGGAATGGTCAGCTAAGAAGCTTCTATAGCTGGCTACCCATTCAACAAAAGCAGAATTTAATTAAATCACTTACCACCCGCATCCGATGCATCTGTAGTCCTGACGTTCTGGAGACAGAATTAGATATTCTAAGAGAAATCTTCATGCAAAATGGATACCCAATAAAATTCATTCACAAAGATGTCAAACCGAGAATCCAGAGAAACGAAACTTCACTTGCGCCTAAAAAGAAACTCTACGTGAACTTGGATTTCAAGGGAGATATAACAAGTGATATTTCCAAGAGAATGATCACATCATCTCTGAGAAGAACATTCTTTGCAACAACGCTAAGAATAGTGTTCTCCAGTCGCCCACTGATCTGCAGAAGCCTCAAGGACAAGATCCCGCATCTGGCCACTTCTATGTGCATATATCAGTTCGCCTGCTGCTGTTGTGAGGCTGACCAGGTACATAGGTCGTTCGACGTGCATCCTGTTCAAGAGGATTCAAGAACACTATCCAGCCAGCATGGTTGCGAAAAGGCAACAGTGGTGCAATATGGAGTGAGATAATTGAACACCTGGTTAACACCGATCATTCCATTTCAACAAACGCCTCCTGCTTCAAAGTAATCTACAGAGTCAAGAATAACCTACCAAAGGCAATACGGTTTTGTCTTCTTTGCATCGCTGAAGCTCTCGCCATTCACATAGAGAAACCGGAGCTGTGCATACAAAAGAGAATAATTACTCAACCACTTCTACTGCCATGGTAACAACTTTGTTGATTTGATTTGAGTTATTTTTTATTTTGGTGACTTAATTTTGTTTGTTTGCCTGTTCTTTAATTGCTTATAATTCTTCTATTCATTTAGACCTCTTACGTAATTTCGTACTATCTACTTTGTTTCTATATGTATCCTGAGTAAAACTCAATCATCACACTATTCATATTATTTCATAACTTCTTTTAACAACTGTTTGTGACAACTCATCACCTTTGTTACTACCCTAATTTCATTAACACCTAATTTTCTTGACTTGTATTACCAACTTCCACCTGTATAGTTAAAATAACCATAACTAATTGTATTTTTGTTTGACAAACTTAATGTACACATACATACAAAATAACTCACGTATAAATATATTTGCGATTGTACAGCTAAAGTGGAAAATGAATTCGCCGGCGAAAAGAGACTCTTCGCTGATCTACGTGTTTTGTTTTCATTAATGCCTGGATGGGGATTATCCATGAAAAGGCAAAATATTAAGACGAAAATATTTGAATTTGATAAAATTTTGATAAGTTTTACATAACTCTGAACCAAGAAATGCACTTGTTCTGTTCTCCTGTTTTACTCAGGAGACAATAACAAAAACAAAATAACAAAAGTAACAGAGAGAAAAAGTGCGTAGACATGATAACGATGGTATTGCGCATTATTATTATCATTATTATTATTCAAACAGGTATTGAGTTATAAAAATGCAAAAGAAAATAATGCTTCTTTTATTTTTCTCATAATTCTTAGAAAGATCTATCCAAAAAAGGTAATCAGAGGATACAATAGCAAAATAAAAAAAGAGGAGAAGGTGAGATCAGGGGAAGCAAATGATGAATAGGCACCGCTGACTGAACATTGACCAGGTAGAATTGCCTGTTGTATCACTACACCATGTTTTGGCTTAATATCTTCAACTATATACAAAGGATTCTCTACAATAAGCGCAGTTTTATTATTACCCAACCATGAATAATGATAATGGATAGTTTTTGATTTAGGACTGAACATTTTTGTTTCATATATAGAAGGAGCGGAAGACTTCGAAGAAGAATAGTAAGCAGAGTTTGACATGCTATAGGCAGCTGAATCCTGTTGTGAAATGGAATACACTTGGGGACATTCAGAGAGCTAAAAGTGAAGTTGAAAAAAAAGGGGTGTGATAAACAAAGTTGTTGAATTGGTATAGGCACAAATTTGACCTAAACAAACTGGTTAGCACTCACGTAGTGTGCAACATAGATGGCATTGATATAGAAATCAAGTCGGAAATTAAATACCTAGGCATCATTCTATCTGCTGATCTTTTCTTCCTGGTCGTCTCATATCTTGATGATTTCTAAGAAAATATTCCGTCTTACCTTCTACATCAAGAAGTTAAGACATTCTGGAATAACTCACCCAAACCTTACTCTTACGATTCGTTAACTCTTGCATCCTGCCTATTATTCCCTATTGTTCCCCCTTAGTTTTTTCCAGGGCTACTGAAGAAAGACTATACCTTATTGCGTAGGATGTTTAAGGTTTTCACCAGGGTGAGCAATGTGCCACTTAACCAACTTGTTAAAATTCTGGTCGACAGGAACTTGGACTCATGTGAAAAATGGGCTAAATCAATCCATTCTATCTAACTCACACCACCCTCTTCATTCACAATTCTTTCCTTGTATCTCATCAGTCAGAACCAGAAGCCTATATAGCAAGTACAAAAACTCAACCATACCCTACTTAGCTCGTGTTCTGTGCGATAAAGAAAGCATTAGGCGTGAAACCTATAACTTATTAAACAGTCAGTAGAACAACTGGATCTCGTCTTTCCAACTCATATCATTTATAGGCACAACGTTTTCTTTCTTTCTTTTCCTTTTCTCTTTTTTTCTGTTATGTGCTCCTTTGTTTCTCTCTTCCTTACAAACTCTACTTAAAACAGTCTTCTTCGTTCTTTCACACTCTGTATATCTCGACCTTTTTGTTACCGCTTACGCCAGTAAATATGCTAGTAGTATCTACTTTTCCAACACCTTCAAACACTCTGTTCAATTTTGGCTTTGCTGACATGCCAATAAGTTGTTGTCATAATGAACTGAGATTTCCTTAATCTATGTAGAATTTTCTTTATTGATAATGTACTTACTGGATGGAATACTGTATGTAGTAAAATGTTGAGAATTTCTTTCTGTATTCGCAAGCACTGTTTTCGAATAAAGCTTATTATTATTATTATTGTTATTAAAGCAAACATCAATAGTCTTAGGTTAAATTTTCGCAAATTTCAGACAGTTCACTTCACTTTCAAATATAAACCTGATCTACAGGAAATGGTTCGTTCGCACGATGCCTGTAGCATAGAAGACACTGATGATATAGAAATTAAGTCAACCATTAAATACCTTGGAGTAGTTCTTTCCTGTGACATTCATTAATTATCCTATTTCTTGTTGATGTCTAAGAAAATGCTCCGTCTAATCTCCTACATTGTGAAGTTAAAACAATCTGGAATCACTCAACCTCCACATTTTTATAGTTTGTTGACTCTTTCATCTTACTTATTGTTCCTTCTTTATTGCTTCACCCCTTAGTCTTTCCTGGGCTACTCAACAAGGACTATGTCATATTGTGAAGGCTTTTAAGACAAGTGGTGTACCACTAAGTCAGCTCACCCGTTACTACTGCAGTTGACAGTCACACCTGAACTCACACATGTGAGAAGTGATCTAAATCCATATTGTCAGACACTCAACACCCTATTTATCCACAGCTCTCCCTTGGCTGCATCTCATCAGATAGGACTAGAAGTTATTTTAAACAACTGTATGCTCGTACAACCACGTACAAAAACTCAGCGATATCCTATTTGACCCGCATTCTCTGTGATGGAGAAAATGTTAGGCGAGAAACGTAAAACTTACCATGCAATTAACAAAATAAATGGCTCTTTTGCCTATTCGTATTCGTAATTTAAGGTGATACTATTTCAGTTGTCTTATAACTTTAATTATTGATATTATTTTATACTTTTGTACACTTTTAGCTTTGTTGTTACTGCAAATGCTAAAAAGTCACCATTATCTGTTTTGTTTACCTATATCATGTAATGTTCCTTTCTGTTGTTGAGTAAATTAGGTGGAATATAGTTCTGATTTCTGAGATGTCCTTCATATATGGTAGGGCAATTTTTTTTGAGCTTTCCTTGGGGGCTTTTGGTTTGATAGGTTGGCTTTAGAGTATATGTCTTTTGATGAAGTTCCGTGGATATCCATTCTTTTGGAATACATCCACGAGCACTTCTACCTTAAGGAAAATTGAAGAAAGATATCTCATGGATGTCTTCCAAAAGAATGGATATTCACGAAACTTCATCAATTGACATCTATCCCCACACCAACTAACCAAATTAAGGCACCAAAGGAAGGCACAAAGGAAATCGCCGTACCATATATGAAGGATATCTCAGAAATCACTACAAGACTCTTCAAACCTTTAGGAATTGACGTCGCACACAAACCGACAAAATCGCTTCACTCAATTCTATGTCAACCAAAAGACTCAACAGCGAAAAAAGATAAAACCAACATCATCTACAAAATAAATCGAAACAAGTGTGAAAAACACTAAATTGGCCAAAGTGGACACCGTCCCCTTCGTCTTCGTATCCACGAGCATAAGCTAGCCGTCAAAAGACACAACATCCACTCCCTCGTATCGCCTCACTGCATACAGACAACCACGGACATCAGTTCGACTGGGACAACCAACTTTCAAATATTAGACAGGAAAAAACAACAAGAATGCTAGAGAATGGTTTTAGAAGCCAGCCTGGGATTCCAGTGAATCATCAATCAATAGACACATCGAGATAGACAAAATTTATCAACCGATAAGAAAGAAACCTCACACACACAAAGGGTCAAAGTTCAAGTCAAGGAAACAGTCAGTTCCAATACAGGTAGCCTAGACGGTGTGAAAACACACAAAAACACCCAATCACGCCCAAAGTCATCATGAGAGATGGTTAATAAATTCTTGTAGAAATCTAAAATCTCACTTCAACAAATTGCAGTATGTGCTGAAGATATCGCCTAGTAGGGGGCAATGAAAGCTTAGCAAATTAACTATCCAGCTCAGCGAACACAACCAGATCAGAATTAGATGAAATATTGTACCGAATGCTGAGAATTTCATGTTGTATCACATAAGTACTGCTTTGGAGCAAAGAAAATTATTATTATTATTATCATCAAAAGGTTCTGAAGTGAAAAAGTCATGAAAACACCTGCAAAACTCATTACCAAGGCAAATTATTTATATTAATAATTACAATTTTTACTATTTCTACTATTGCGCACTTTAAACTGCTCATGGCATCTCTTGTTTAACTGCTTACTGTACAATTCAGCAGTCTAATATGTAGTCAGGAAAACATATTCTGATATCTTTCATGATAGAACTACTTCTTAAGAAATCTTTTAATGCCCAGAGCTTCACACAGGCACACTACTGATTATTGGCATGTCGTATACAAATTCTCATTCGCAAACAGAAAATCAACCGAATCTATGAATACACCTGATATTTGGATTGTAATTTATCATGGTCTACCAAATTATAGTGGATTGGGTCATGTGACAGAATGTTGGAACCAACAAACAGACACTTCAAGATGTGAATGCCACAGATGGTCTATGCCTCACATCGCGCAAACTCGAAGATCAACTAGCAGAAACCAATGAATTGGCAGAAGAAATGCAGATGAGACAGGACCTCAGGTGAGCATACAGAAGACAAAGAGGATGAAGGTACCCAACCAACAACAAAATAACTCCAGTCACCATGAAAGGGGGGGGGAATTTAAAGGAAGTAGTCCCTAAAACTTGTTGAAGTAACACATCATTTCAACTTAAGACAGGAAGTACGGATGAGAATGACGAAGCCAACTAGGGTAAGGTCGGGAAAACGACAGTGGAGATCACTGCTTTGAAATAGGTGTGGACATTTATACCATTGAGCACAGAAAACAAGATTTGATTTTCAACACTAATAATGTCAAGTCATTGCCGCTGCTAAATGGTTGACAGGTTTGATGTGTCACCGAAGACATTTCCAACAGACTCCGAATTTTGATTAACAATCGATATTGGAGATCAGATGGTTGGAGAGAATGGATGAGCAATAAGGAACGCCTGGCAGTCAGTAAACTAATCAGTCAAGAATTCATTACCCGAGTGGAGAACAACAAGCCAGGTATCAGAGAGTAACAGTGAGGAGATCATGTGAGGCAGGAGTGAAAGCTTGTGCACGGAAATGCAACTAGATGAACACAACAACAGAGTATAGAGTAATATGGCCGATGTATTGTCGAAGCCCTTTTTTCACTAAGAACGAATAATATTGACAATAATAGACAATGATGTAATAATTGGGGGACCATCAGTTATTTACCACTGGAATAAAAAATATATTACACATTTCATGTGTTAATCTCAATATGGCATCTTCACTGTCTTCATGCATTTATTCCCCTTGATGAATTTGAATAAAGCAAGAACAAAAGTGGTTTGTACAGAATAATATGCTACCATCATTGTTTATTTCGTTGGCTTCTCATCAGCTGCTTAAAGCCTAAGTTAATTATGAGGTTTACGTACAGAAAAGTTTTAAGATATTTGCAAATTTTTTCGTGATGTCAATTGAGAGAAAGTTCCCGTCCATCGAACAACATGCTCTTTGGTGCAGTCAAAAGTCGATAGATACCCTTCTCATGTTAACTCCAACTGTGTATAAAAATTTACATGTATCTGCGGGAGCAGTTACATTGAGAGAACAAAAAGAAGGGCACGCCTCTGATTTTCTGAGCATGTGTCGAAAAGCCTACGTCTCAAGGGAACAAACTCTTATAGTAGCGCTATTACCAGACATCTCGACACGGGCCATGAGGTGGAAATCGGGAAATCCTTTAAAATTATCAATAGACAAAGAAGCTCTATTCTCCTCCAGTTTGCCGAATCAATTTCTATCAAACGCTTGAAACCAGATTTATGTGTTCAGAAAGAAGCAGTTATTGGTCTTTCCTTGCCCTGCTAACTGGATGTTTTTATTCTCTTTTCTGATTACGTAACCTTTGTCTTTAGCCTCACCCTCCTTTTATAATCTGTAATTTTGTTTGTCTCTTGTTTCTGTGATTTGAGTTGAACTTATTACATTGTTACCTAATTTATTAGTCACTCTGCATCTAACGCATATTTCGTCTTTATTATGTAACTCCTTTACCATTGTAAGCACGCTGTTATTATTATTATTTTGTTTAAACTTGAACTGCCAGTATAAAAACCAAATAAGCGCAATTTTCTGAGCACAGTTCACTAATTGTGAACCTTTCTGTCAACTGACAACATGTAAAATTCGCAAGTATGTTAAAACTTTTCGTGTACATAAACCTCATAGTTTATTTAGGCTGTGGTACGCAGCTAGCTGATGAGAAGCCAACGAAATAAACAATGATGGTAGCATATTATTCTGCACAAACTACCATTGTTGTTCTTGCTTTACTCACCTTCACTGTCGTTGTCGAGCAGAAATACTGAGTATGACTACGAATATTTGGAACTTTGAAATGCATTTACTAATGCATTTTATATACACATTTATTTCTGCTGCTGAAATACTTCTCCACCTCGAATCTACAATTCAATGGAGACTCATTGGCAGAAATACCAAGAAACCGTCTGTCCCGCTTATTGAATAAAACTTTCTTCGTGGCTGAGCTTTGACTGACTTTCTCCACAAAAATCAATAGTTGGCATGAATGTGAAGGATAAGCTACCGCTGCTGACTGGCCTCATCAGTTTGCGCCTACCAATTCACCTGACCGTGTGGAGCCTGCTCATTCAGCGTTTACTATCCAGACGTATCAGAGAACACTTAACCTCATGATTTTATAAGGGGAAAAGATCCCTCCTCACAGCTCTATCTCAGAACGCCTGATCAAATCTGGATACCAAGTTGACCAACAAACTAATCTCAGTTATTCATAGAATACGTGGGAATCTTTCTACAAGAATACGAATAAGACTTCGTCAAACAGCGTGGAAGCAATGGTAATTCACTTGCTAAATCCTGAACTGTGTATACAGAAGTTTTTTCAGTCATTAAGTCTACAATGGAGCTGATATATCTTAACATTGGATAAGCAGATATTTCGGTTTCTTTTGTTTCTTAAGTGTATCATTTTCTTCCTCCACTCTCTATTAAATTTGTACTTCTTGTTTATCACTGTTGTTAACCTGACTCTCGTTCAATTTTAACTGACTACTGTTCAATCCCGTCAGTTATATTACGTCATTCGACTTATATATATATATATATATATATATATATATATATATATTAGGTACAGGCAAAAGAAATTGCAGCTTACAGGACAAAGATTCCTACAATCTGGACAAATGAGTTTTCCATTCACAGTCAGACTTTGTTTTGTTAAACAAGCATTAACTTCAATTAATCCTCCCGGAACTTCACATGGAATTGAAATACTTCCAGCTAATTCCAGCACTAGACCACCTTCATCAGCTGAACATCGGAACTGAATGGTTGGATGAAAATGAAACAAGCATGAGTAAATATTAATTACTTCAGGTAATAAGTGGTATTTTGCAAAGAAAGTGATAAAATTGGTCACAAAATATTAATAGACATTAATGTAATGTTAAAAAAAACTGCAAATGAGTACCAATCTTACTACTAGTTCTTACCATCCGAATACATGTTCTCACATTACTGTCTCGCAAAAGCCTTCATTTCCAAACAACTATACATAATTTTAAGTTTTACAGATTTCAGGAATTAATGTTTTAGCTACTGTGCGTGTGCTACTGAATAGATTTGTAAGTAGTATACACATACAGATACAAAATTCATTTGTAATCTGCAAAACTTTTAAATAGAGGGGAGGTGGATTTACCGACGAAGAGAAGAGATGCTTGTGAAACGACTTGGAAGACACAGGAGGAAGACAAAGAAACACAACATGGAAGATGAAAGTAGCACAATACTGAAGATATGTACGATTTGTGATTCTAATGCATGTTAGACGTATTTGCCTACATTGAGTTGTCAAATACTCTTGTGTTCTACCGTTGCACTACTGATTAGGGTTCTCCTTCAGTGAATTACATAGAAATACTTACGATGAATAAGCGGTTGTGCGGTTGTCTCGATGTGATTTTTGTCATAAGGCGAATCTATCAGCTCAGTGGGTATTTATAAATAATAATGAATATGAGGCTTATATTATCCCATAGAATTCGTTTGAGCACCCAATTGCTTGCATGCTGCCTTCATATTTTGGGACAGAATTGGATAACCTTACTTTCGAAACTCGAGCAACTCTATAGAATCTCTTCGTTAGTTAACAAATGTGGCACAAATTTAATGGTGAAAACTTGTGACTGAAAACAACTCAAAATCTGTCTGTCTGTCTGTTTTCGACATAGAACTTTGCACCGATGTGCAACAGTTCAAGTCGCCACACTTCCTCCAGGTAGCACATAAAGCAAGAGAACAAAGTAGAAGAAATGCATATTAGAAACAGTAAACAGAGGTGTGAGACAAAGGAATAGTAATAACGAAGAAGAATATAGTTTCATTTGAAATCAAAAGTCACAAGGAGTGGATGCATCTGCTAGCCACATCACCAATTGTTTCCAACCATTGGTTTTTACCGTCCCGAGGACCCCAACCAGTCAGGAAGTCTACACCTTCCTACGTGACTGGTTTAAACTAACTGTTGTGGATTTCATTGACTGATGAAGCCGTGTTTTGGTTTGGCCGCCGCTAGCTCTTTTCCAGCCTGACCCTATGTCAACTAACATTGCCCGTCAGTCGAGGAAGGCGATGGCTAGGCTTACATGCATAACACATGTCCTAAGCACCTCAGTCGGGGTAATTTCAAAACCTTGTCGATTGATTTCCCCTCCCACCTACCTAGAACTCGACTGCTGTCTAACCTCAACATTGCTCACCTTATTATACCACTTCACACGGGAGATAGGACGCAGACAGCTGTGATCAAAGACAGCTAGCTCGACTTTTCATGTCTTCCACTCTCAATGACCAGGTCTCACAGTCAACCATCAATGAGGACGGAGCAGACTGATGAGCAGTACACCTGCCATTTGGTTGACAGCTTGCTGGATATCACGTCTACGCCAGAGACGGCGTAAACTGGCATATGCGAAACTAGCCATCTGTATCCCTACTGAGATTTCGTCAGAGATCAACCCGTTGGCACTGGCTGATGGCATTTCCCAAATAAGTGAAGCGGTCAACGTGCTGTACCACTTCACTTCCTATTTCCAAACTAGGAGTCAGTGTAGTCCAATCCAATCCTGTAACATCATCGTACATTTGGCGGGAGCGAATCGCATGCCAAACTCAAAATCGAATTCAGTGAAGCAGCAAAAAATATAAATGATTTACACCTTCACCATGTAAAGATAAAGGCAAGCAAGAATAAGAATATCATGTGACTATGAATAATTATTGTTGATGACATAATTTATCAAGAAGGCAATGAGAAACACTGCACTAGGAGAGAAATAACTTTGGAGTACACGTATTCATAATTAAATAAGTCAAGTAGTTAATTTACAAATTAAAGCTATAATAAGATGTTGAAAAGTGAGAGCTTGTTTGAAATACTGGTAATATTTCTGTGCCTCACAATAAGACAACTATGATTAGCCGAATGGGATTCATCTTCGAGAAGATGATGATTGAATTTGAAAGCAGAAACATCAGATGAGGTGAAATCAGAATCATTGACTACCTACCTACTCAGATCTAGTGAACGTCATCACTTGGGGGTGTTTTAAGATTAACATATGACGACCAGTAATACTAGCAAATCATACTTCGTGTAAGCTACTCTAAAAGACTGTAACAAGTTAGGCTCAGAAGACTGGAAAGGTAATGCGAAGCATGTTTAACTTCAGTCAGTGGATGGTAACTACCAGTGGAATCCACGATACAAATTTTTCACAGTCCTATTTGGCTACTCGTCAGCTAGTTGGATGTGCCTGTATTTCTCAGTCAGTGATGGTGTTCCCAACGAGGCTCGAACCCAGTGCCCATAGTTTCAAACGTAAAAGTGTCATCTACTAGACCATTTGGGACACGACAGCCACCACCTCTTGTGCACGAGGTCTTATTAATTATTTAATTCAATTTTAGTTTTTCCCATCGATCGACTGAACCGAAGTTCTCGGTCTCAGGTTGACATGTCGCCTACTTGTGCAGATGCGTAGACGATGCCTGGTCACAAAACTTGAAGTCAATTGGTGGATGGTGACTAGCAGTGTAATCCAGGGCTCTCGTGACTCAAGTGGTCTAGTGGGTAACGCTTTAACATTTGAAACAATAGGCACTGGGGCCGAGCCTCGGTGGGAAAACCATCACTTACTGGGGAATGCAGGTACGTCCAAGTGACGAGTCCTAAATAAGACCTCCGAAATGTGCATCCTAGATTCCATAGGCTTTGTGAGCACTAATACTGGAATAGATCAAAATTGGGTTACAGATATTACCAACCACGTGAAAGTATTCATTGCTTTGAAACACAATAAGAAAGACAAATTCATTCTAGTTGCAGTAAAAACTTCTTGTTAGTATGTACAAAGTAAGGCTTAAACTTCACGCTAGTTTGCATCAGACATCATGCAGTTTTAGAAAATTCCTTTACGTTCCCAGTGGAACAAAGGGCTACTTCAAGCTACAGCTTTGTAGTTTCAGTAGCAGTGGTGCCTATTTTTACGGGATGGGGTTGATAGCCTCATATCCAACGTTCTCCATTTACCACTTTTATTACTGGCACAGTGGGGTAAAGGAATGTGTCGGCAGGGGATAGAACCCCGGACCACCTGAGGCATGGTTAGCGAGCATTCTACCGCTGTACCGTCGACGCACAATCATGTAATTAGGCACAATAAATAGTATTGTTCAGCAAAGAAAGTTAGAATATAAAAAATGGTTTTAAAAAATCGTTTGTTTGTAAACTTGATCAAAAATTTAACCGACTGACATACAGTATAACAACCAGCTCCTTCTACAGGTGGAACAAATAACGAATTTTCGTTTGTTAAATGCCATTTAGAACTGTGTTGTACACATATGGATTCCATACCAAATCGTTCAAGCTTAAAGTTATTGTGTGGGTCTATGAAATTAGAAATATAAAAAAACAAAAACAAAAGAAAAACAGTGATGGCTCACACATGACACACACTGATTACGCCATAAAGAACCTAATGCATAAATCTACTCTTCACAATGGATTCCAACCTAACTGCCTTAAAAAACTTCTGTTTATTTAGGAGGGCTGGTGTTCACTGATATTTGTGTGTCTGATAGTGGTATTTCTGGGTCAGTTGTAGGCGCTAGTTGATTCAAAGACCATTTGAATTGATCAGGCCAAATGTTTTCTCTTTTCTACCGCCTAGGTGACTGAGCTCACTTTACTACCTTTCACTGACTTTACCTGCGTAGAACGCTCAGCACTATTCCACGCCAGTTTTTACAGAGTGAGGTGTTGTCGCTCATCTATGGCAGCTTGATGAGGTAGCCTTTCTTCCAATCTGTAGGCACCTTTCTTTTCTTCCTAACCTTCTGCAATGGTGGTGTGAGCACCCCTAGGTCCGTTTTCAGTGCTTCAGGGGATTTGATTCCGTTTGACCCTGCTGCCTTCCCGGACTTACTCTAAACCTAAGCTTATTATTATTTACCACACAGCTTTATGCAACACAAGTAACTGAATAAAGGCAGCTGAGATAAGAACCACTCACTAATCTGTTTATACCTTCTGCTTTTAGTGAATATGCCTCACGACCATGAAAGAGCATAGTACACAGGTCATTTAATGAGTAGCGAGATGTCACACTGGTATAAAATATGATGAACTTTATAGTGTGTGAAAATAAGTCTTTTGTATTACTGCCAAAATTCTGTCAGCAACAATTTCATCAGAGGTGATGCATCTAAGCAAATTAGTAAATGATCCATTCATTTTAACCATTTTACCTGCTACCCGAAATCTAGAAGTCATTGCAAACCACTCTTGAAGTATCCATCGTCTTACATTAAACAGGTGAGAGACACACGCGAGACATATTAAAATGTTTGATCCTATATTTCACAGGACTCATCATTTTGTCAAAATTTTCATGGAGGAAGATTATTTCACACACATATACTGCCGCCACCCTTTGTTTGTCATTTTCCAGCCGACCAATTATGATTGGTCAAGTGAAAGACAAGTTACCTAGCTGTGCCACATCCATGTGTATCTATAAATTTAGTTGCTGTCGTGGAGAGAGCTATATATAGGGCGAACAATTAGACAGCTTAACAAAAACGCATTAATGAGCATCTTCCTTCATGGTTTGGAAAAGGTCAAATAAAGTCTATAAGAATTTTTATTTTGGCTCATTTGATTGATAGCGGTCACCAAGTGGACAAAAATGGTGCCTTCAGAGTTATCTATCGCATTCCATCGAGTCTTTCGAACGGAATTCGAATCCGTCTTTTACACATAGCCGAAGCTATGGGAGTCAGTTCGAGAGAACAATCCTAGTCTTTGCATACAAAAGAAGTTTGTTCTACCTTTGTCTCTCCCTTGGCCTAAGTAAAGTCTAATTAAAACCCTCCCATCCCTTCTTATTTTCCATCTCCTTCGTATTTTTATGATATTTATTTAAAGTCTGATTATCTGCCCACTTCACCTTTAGTATTACGTAACTTTTAAGATTTGACCTAATTTATTTATTTATTGAATTGTCTACATATACACATATATACATATACTATCTTTGTTATTCTTATCACCTGCATAAACTTTATTATCAATATTTTGTTATCATTATGATCATCGTTATTAATGACGTTCAAAACATTTACCACATTATTAATATTTATTTGATCCACAAAATTACCGTCATTGGTTATAATTTTTTCTATATAAGTCTATGTAAATTAAAGCCTGAAGAAGATCTAATTGAAAACAACAATATGGTTCGCTTATATGTTTTGTTCTAAATCAGAGATGATTCTATTGCTTACAGGATTTCATCATCAGCTGACATTAGTTAGAGAACTCTTGGAAAACCTGAAGGGAGTACTGGACAGCTGTTTCGTCCTAGTTGGGGGCTCTTCATCAGTACGCCCCCACAGCCAGGGTTCGAACCCAGGACCTTATGGTTATAAGGCTAGCGAGCTCGTTTACCATTAAACCACTAACAACCGATCCAATGGCTCATGGATTCTAACTTTTGCCAATTCACGACATAGCGCGACCGCTAGCCAATGTCTTCGGCGAGTATTTGTCCTCACACCCGACCTGCTGCACCCTACTGGTCACGACTTCTCACGATTTTCTTCAAGATGAATCGAAAGAAGTTAGAATTCATGGGCCATTGATTCGGGTCCCAGTGGCTTAATGGCAAACGAGCTCGCAAGCCTTATAACCAGAAAGTCCTGGTTTAGAATCCCGGTGCTGCGTACTGCTGAAGAGCCCCAAACTATGACGAAACAGCTGCCCAGTACCACCAGCTGGTTTACCAATGGTTCTCTAACTAATGTCAGCTCATGATGAAATCCTGTAACCAATCAACCAAATCCCTACAAACCAACACTTCAATAGAGATGATTCTACTTGCTAGCAATTTAATTTTTTTAAAGAAATTCGAAAATCTGCAGAGTAATATAACGTAAATACTTCTGTTATAAAATTAAATTAAAATAGTAATGATGAGTACCCACAGCGAATGTTGCTCTTTGTCATTACTTTAGATGACAATTCTACGCAAGTTCTTACACAACTGTATCAGCAGGAGCAGAATGTCTTATTAATATATGTGTAAAATTTGGGCACTGTGCCCATATTAGTTTGTTTATTAGATGTATCACACAGTGAAACAGTATTACCATTTACTGGATGACTTTTGGAACACTATTTTTTTTACTGTTCATAATCACACCATCAATTGTATTTACACAACTTCGAAACTTTCATTGTATGATTTTCTCTACTCCATTCCATTCACTGTAGGGGTATTAGAATTTTTCAGATGTTCAGGTGGACAGATGTGTTGAATCATTTCTGTTGCATGTATTTTCAGTTGATTCGATAAATAAAGCTTTCGTTATGAGCCTCTCTCTCTCTGTCCCCACCTTGTTACATTATATTTTAAAATTGTCATCTTATACCATCCTATTCTATGGTTGCGTGTAATTGTATGTAGTGAGTGCTATCTACGGCTGAACTATACTCTAGATTCTTTATCTTATTCGGGTCAACTAGTCCAGATTTTGCTGGGTTTTTTTGCTTCACTAATCTGATTGACCTCGTTCTACTACTTTGACCTATGTGTTTGACCTGACAATCATTCCAATGGGGGTCTTAAATAAACTAAATTGTTTTGTTTTAAAGACTTCACAGAATCCTTTAATCGACAAAGCTTGTTTCTAACTGAGCTTGTAAGTTCGAATGCCAGCCACTTTTATTACTGCCTTGTTAAGAATTGTCCTTAAGGTTTCCGCTGAGGTTCCCTCTTTTTATGGAAGTACCACTGATGATTTGTATTCCCTATGATTAGTGTTGTCATTATCCTGCACATGTTTGACATGCATTTCGTCATTACTATTATTATTATTATTATTATTGATTTTATTTCTACATTTTCCAACATACTTCCTGATTAATTTATCAGGGTAATTATTAAGTTTCAAAGCTTCCCTTATGATGCTTCACTTCCCGTCTGAGATTTTCCTTGGTACTACTTAGTTTTTATGCCTGTTTCTTAAACAATTCACCAATCTTGTTCTTACTGACATAAGGCGGGATGATTGGAAATCCAAATATCGGTTTGAATATATGAGTTTCCTGTAAACACTTGCGTTTAACTTTCCATCTTCTTTCTTTTTTACGCTGCAGTCTAACATTGGAAGCACCCCTTCCTGACTTTCCACTTCATAAGTGAATTGAACTGCCTCCAACTTTGAGTTAGTGTGTTTGAAAAATCTAAGTACGGTGAATGTGTCATCTACATACCTATACTATACTTTTGGGGTGGGGATGAACGTTCCAGTGGCTAAGCTTTCCCACCTGTTCATGAATATATCTTCCAGAATCGGAATATATTGATCAACAAACTTAACATAGATTCCCGACTCTTTTCAATTGGACACTTCCTAAACACCCTGGAACGACTGAGTTAAGTGTTAATTTCATGTCAAGAAATCATGATAGATGGTGGATACCAATATGTTCGTGTTTGAGGATCTTTAAAAGTATGAAAACTTGATTAAGGCATCCAATTTTGTAAGTGTCAAATTCACAATCTGTAGCGTACCCAATTCAAGGAGTGAAATTTTCACCACAGTCTCCTTCGGAAACCAAAATTATTCAAGTCACTGCACACTATGTGATCTGTCTGATACCATGAAATAGTGGTAATCAAGAAGGTAAAACAATTCACATGAAACTATATACTACTGACTAGTCGAGATGAGTAGTCGTATATCACTCAGATCAATCAGCGCAGTGCTTGCTAGCCAAATCGGGATGAACTAAGCACAACACGACCTTTGATATGAGTGGTATACAACTAATCATCCCAACCGATCAGTAGCATACAGTGTGCTTGAAAATATCGCAATATTTTCATGGGGTTCCCTTCAATCCACACATAGGCTAACTATGACTATTTGTCAGATTTGTTCTCCACTATTTATCACATTGCTTATTGAGGAAGTTATTGGCTTAAGAAGTGTAACATGTTTCCTAGTCACTCCAGTCGATGAAACTTCATTCGTTTTGGGATGTAGACATGCTGACATTCAATATTTGCCAGATTTTTTAACATTAGAGCAATATTTCGTCCCATAGATCGACAGTCGTTGAGAGAATGCTTAGCTTTGAAGGCAGTTTACTTGAAATTGAACAGAGACTTATGTAGGAGTGATGATAACCAGTGGTGTTTATCAAGAGCTCCCAATATCACTGTTCTTATATGACTTCCTTATAGATTAACAGAAAGCGAAGGACTGGGAGTTTAAATGTAAAGTGTAAATTAATGTGAATAAGAAAATGAAAGCGAGAATTACCTTGAAGATTAGTAGGTGTATGACAGTGAGTATTAGCCACAGCCTTCCCTCCATTGTCTTCCCATTCTATTTCCTGGACAAAAAGTTAGAAAATTAATGTTTATGTGAACGTCAAGAAGACATGCATAAAAATGCATGGTTAGGGTAATTCTTAAAAATACTAAGGTGTTGTGCTGGTTAAATACCTTTTCAACGGTGTATACCAAGAACTTTATACAATATTGAATGTAGAAACCTTTGATCTTAAGGTGAGTGAGTGAATATATTATTAAGCTGACAGTATGGTAGAACCGTGGGGCCCAGTGACTGAATGGTCCACCAGATTGACTTGTGACCGAAAGGTCCTGGGATCAAACCCCAGTCAATGTGCACTGCTTAAAAGTCCCAAACCAGAACTAGATAGTTGCCCAGTATACTCTATGGCTTTCGCGTCAGTGGTATAGAGGCAGAACGCTAGCCAACTATACATGTGGTTTGCGGTTTGATCCCCTGATGGAAACACTCCTTATTATTTCCTTTAATTCCTAGAAGAACATAGGGCTTCAGCCACGCACGTCTACACTGCGTTCGGTTCTCTGCCAAGGTTTTCATCTGGCTCTAAGTCTGCTGAGTAGTGCTGTTGACCTCCACAGAGACTTGAGAGTAATCAAAGCTTGTCTTGATTTTCCTATCCTTGCTTTGATATCCTCATCAGTTCCGCCTGTAGTTGAATCGATGCTTCCCAGGTGGGTGGGCAGGTAAAGGAAGTTATTTCTTTCAGATTTCTCCCATCTATTCTGATTGTTGTCTGTTGTTGTAGCTGTTGGTGTTGGTGTTGTCCAGGAATCTTCATCACCTCTGTTTTCTCTATGTTCACCTGAAATGCCTCCTATCTTTGATGCTTCATCCTCTGTCAACTTGTTGCTTTTGACTTGCATATCTTCCAGTTTGTGGGAACTAGACATATATCATCGTCGGAGTCCAGATCCTCCAAGTTTTTTGTGTGGGTCTATTTTATGCCTGTTTCCTCATTGCCCGTTTTCTGTCGCATTATCCAATCTACCTCACTCAGGAAAATCATTGGCGATAGTAGGCAGCCAGCCTTGTCTTATTCGGGTCTTTACTTCGAAGGATTCCGTAAGCTTCCCTAAGCCTCTACTAACTAGAAGTAAGGCCGGTAAAGAGGAAAGGTTAGGTATGGGAATAGCGACCCCAATCCGTAAAAATAATACGGAAATGCCAAAGAAACTCTACAGCTCAAGTCTAAAATCCTGTTATTATATCAGTGGAATAAAATAAATTTAAACAAAACCAGTGGGACCAAGTGACCTTTATCATATAACTATTACTATCTTCCCAGTGTTATAGAAGTGTGAAAAACCTATCCACCGAATCTTACTTTCACTGGATCCACAGCTGACAGCTAATTTTACCAGTTACAAGGGTGGATGTTGGTCAGCCATGTCAGACACGGAGACAAATACTCACCCAATAGGTAGAAGTTGGATGTCATCAGCTGCTGGATTAGGCCCTAATGGCTGTGAGAAGTCTGATGAGAAGTCATGACCAGTGAGGTTCATCCAGTCACGTGTGAGGATGGATGTTCCACCGACGAGACTGGTTGGGGTGGCGCCAAATCACGAATTGGTAAAAATTAGAATTCATGGGTTGGCCACTGAATCGGGTCCTATTGGCAGAATGGTATACGAACCAGCTTGCCTTATAACCGGAAGGTCCTGGGTTCGAATCCCAGTGGATGCCTACTGCCGAGGATTCTCAAACTGGTGTGAAACAGCTGCCCAGTATTCCCTGGCTGGTTTTCAGTGGTTTTCTAACTGATATCAATCCGTGATTGACTCGTAAAAAATGAACACATAAATCGGGTTTTAGGCATTTGAGCAGAGCTGAGCTTTCTTGTCACCGGTACTGGTGAGATGCCTAGCGATGGTACTATTGAAAACGCTTATTCCCTTGAGGAGTAAACTTTTTGGTACATGTTCACCAAATCCGAGGTGTGCCTTTTTTTCTGTTCTCCCAATGTAACTGTTTCCGCAGATACACATATCAGTTTGTTTACAGAGTTTAAAATTGAACTTTCTGGATAAAAACTTTATAAGTGTAATTTTCTGGGCACTTTTTATTAATTTAAGTGACTTTTAAATTTTCCTGTCGACTGATTGGACCGAAATGCTCGGTTGACATGTCGGCTTCTTCTTGTGCAGATGCTTCGACTATGTCTGGGCATTTAATTCGAATTTAATTGGTGGATGGTGACCAGCAGTAGAATCCAGGATGCGAATTCCCACAGTCCTATTTGGGGTGCGTTAGCTAGTTGGATGTGTCTGCATTCTCCAGTGAGTGGTAATGTTCCCATTGAGTGCCCATAGTTTCAAATGCCAAAGCGTTATCCACCCGACCACTTGGGCCACGATAGCCACCACCTCTTGTGCAACGGGTCATATTAATTTAAGTGACTTTTAGATTTTCCCGTCGATTGACTGTACCGAAGTGCTCGGTCTCAGGTTGATATGTCGACTCCTTGTGCAGATGCTTCGACTAGAAAATGCAGATACACCCAGATGACGAGTCCTAAATAGGACGAAATGCGCATCCTGGATTCCACTACTAGTCACCATTCACAAATTAAACACTGTTCATTAAGCTTGAAACCTCTTGTCAACTGACATTATGTAACACTTGTAAGTATGTTAGAACTCATCTGTATGCAGTTGATGTGAAGCCAACTGGAATAAACAATGAAGTGACCATCTTGTTCTGCACAAACTGTCGTTGTTCTTGCTTTATTCAGATAGTTTTGCTCTTTTCTCAAATAGCCATATAGATCTGGTTTCTAGTATCAGAGTACGGAGGTGAACTTCAAAATTGTATTAGTAGAAAGTGCTACCCTAGTATAGATACATCACCAGGAAGCAGAGAAAGATAAGAATTAGTAATATGTTACTTGTTTTTTGATTGGATACTAGTAACTTGTGTGATATGTGGTGCAGACTAAGTTCTATCAGTCAGGTTTGAAGTATGGCTACCATTCTAGGTAGCTCGCCACCACGGTGCACACTGGATCTTATGATATATTAAGTTGTTTGAAGGTAATCAGCCACAGGAAGCCTTCGACCTAGGTTTCGTGCTACTTACCACCCACCAGTCAGCAAGGTGGTGTGTCTGAAACCTTGAGGGAACTCATCTCCCTTCTGAGATTCAAACCCGCGTCACTCAGTGTTGCAGTCAGTCAAAGACGTTACCACTGAGCTGAACGGGTTCACGATTGATATCCTGTAGGAGTGTATTGGATACTCTGATTGGACACTAGTAATTAGTGGGATATGATGTTACAGATACGCTTTGCTGATGAGTGCCAACTAGCATGAAACCTTGGTCGAAGGCTTCTTGTGGCCGACTGCCTCCAACCATCTAATATATCATCAAAATCAATGTTACTTATTCTTTATAATGTTCTTTTAATCGGCTAAGTGATATAAAAATGAAGTTAAACAAGACAACCCGCATTAACAAACCTGATGATATGGACAGTAATTGGCCAAAGCTATTTTACCGCCTATTTTAACAAGAGGATATTGATTGTCTAATGCACCGGTGGGTAAACTGATCTCATCATTTGTTTGACCTGTTGACATATTCCCACGAACAAAATAAACATATTCAGAAGGTAATGGTTCAGGATAATCAATAAGATTGCAAAATCCATAGCTTTCTCCATCAGGTGTACAGCTAACTTGTAATCCGCCATTCTTATTCTTCAAACTAGATGAAAGTTGTAAATGTTGACAGAACGGTGTAATTGGTTGACCCCTATAAATAAATAATAATAAAATGAACTCAATAGTAAGGATGCTATATATATATATAATGAAAATAACCAACCAACAACAACAGCAACAACATCTAGTGCTAATCACAATCAACGGGAGGGATTTGAAAGAGGTTACTTCATTCATTCACTTATCTAGCATTGAGCATTGGCTCAACTACAGGAGGAACGGACGAGGATGTCAAATCGAGCCAGAATCAGGAAGGCATTGAGAAACACATTCATCAACCTGAAACTAATCTGGAAAATTAATCTTTGTCACTCAGTATCAACAACAAAATCCAGTCGGGTTTTCAATACAAACGTCAAGTCAGTCAGTTCTTCTTTACGGATCAGAAACTTGGCAGGTGGGTCACAAAGAATATTTCCAACAGCCGTTTGTAGACCTTCATCAAAAACTGTCTTCACTGGATCTATACTGAATATCAGATGGCCGAGCCGAAAAGAATCACCAAATATTGGAAATTGTGGGAACAAACAAAACAAGAATCAATCGACAACCAACAAATATGCAGGAGAAAGTGGAGATGGATGGATTGGACACTCGCTGAGGAGGCCTCCGGGTGACATCACGCGCGCGTTAGGCCATTGCTCGAGTGGAACCAGGCTGAAAGGGAAGCGGCGAGTTGGTCGTCAGTGCAAGGGTGACATGGAGGAGATCATGTGAAGAGGAGCTGAAACAGTATGGACTAACATGGATGCAGGTGAAAAGCACAGCAGAAGACAGAAGACAGCAAGTGGAGGCGTCCAGTTGAAGCGCTATGTTCCAGTAGGAACCCAAGGGAACAATAATATCACTAATATATATATATATATATATATATATATATATATATATATATATATATATATATATATATATGTATATGGCATGAGATAAGATAATGTATCACCCCCCCGCCACCAATTCAGAAAAGACAAACTACTTAGAGTCAACCTGGAACTGTACTGTTTATTTTCTGCACTTGGGTTGCCGACGTTAAGGAAGTGATCCGTTGTTTACTTGACGGTCTGGAGCATTCGTGGCCTCTGCCTCTAATTAGAGTAATGAAGCACATGGTACAGGTCTCATTTGCCCAGGAAATTGGTCGTAGCACCATCTGAAGGGGTTGGGTGGACGTAGAGGTCAAATACTGATGAACTTTTGGTGAACAGGCGGTGACTGAGGACGGCATCTGTGGCGACTTATCGAGGGTGTCCGCTGTGTGTGTGTGTGTGTAGGTTGCTGGCTAAAACCAGCTTTGAAGTCTTGACACTAGTGTTGCATATTTGGATAAGATTTGACGAAATGCCAAGAACCAGAATACCAGGAGAATGGTGGAAGTGTCAACTTTGGGCATCAGTTGGTATTGCGTAACTGGGACGATGGACCTTTGAGGTAGGATCAGGGGTTGTTTGGCCGGAGGCTGATAGAGAGGTTTTGAGAGGTCTGGCCAACTGTATTGCTTTCAGGACCACACTGGTGTTCAGAATCGACTAAACTGGTTGTTCGAGAAATTTGTCCAACGTCAAATAATCTAACAACCCAGTCGTCAAATATTTAAGTGATCTGAGTCATAGGACGAAATGCGCATCCTGGATTCGACTGCTAGTCACCATCCATAAATTAGATCTCATTCATGATCAAAGGGAATATAGATGGCATGAGGTCTAAGGAGATCTAAAGCAGTCACCATTTTTGGTGATCATGATGTGTAATCACCATGATGGTGACCTTGAGTATATGTACATACAATCGGTGTTATTAGAGAATTTATGTCATGGGATCTTCCTTATCACATCATATATTCAACAGCCAAAGAAGATAAAACCAACATCATTTACAAAATAAATTGTAACCACTGCGAAAAATACTACATTGGCCGAAGTGGACACCGTCCCCTTCGTCTTCGTATCCACGAACATAAGCTAGCCGTCAAAAGACATGATATCCACTCCATCACACATATCACTACATACAGACAACCACAGACATCAATTCGACTGGGACAACCAACGTTCAAATATTAGACAGAGGAAACAGCAAGAATGCTAGAGAATGGTTTTAGAAGCCAGCCTGGGATTTCAGTGAATCATCAATCAATAGACACATCGAGATAGACAAAATTTATCAACCGATAAGAAAGAAACCTCACCCACAAAAGGTCAAAGTTCAAGTCAAAGAAACACACAAAAATAAGCAATCACGTTCAAGTTCAGGTCACCCGGAGAGATGACGAATAAACTCGTGGAGAAATCTAAAAGCTCACTTAAACGAATTGAAGTATGCTCTGAAGGAAGATGTCGCCTAGTTAGGCGATGAAAGCTTCGCAAATTAACTATCCAGCTCAGAGAACACAACCACATCAAAATATCATTACCTAATAATTCTAAGAAATAATGATTAAAGAAAGTTTTCACGCTGAGAAACATGCAACCGCCGGCATAAAATCACAGTAGAGTCGGTCTGTTTGAAATCTAGGCTACAAAAGTACTCTGTCATTATTACTGCATATAATTCCTCTTGTTCACTTTGTTTTAATCTATTAAAATGTGACCTCTAATGGGGTCTTCTACTCTCGCGAGTATTTAAAATGTCTACAACCTGTTGATTTGCAAGTTTCTACTAAGCTTGAGATAAATCGAAATCATGAGTGGCACCATGTATCCCAATACATTGTATAACTGTTATTCATGAGATTTTCAGTAATAAACTGCCACTGCCTGACAAATAAAACCTAATTACCTGCTCTCTTATTAGTGTGTTCTTGGGTCAAAAGAAGTGCTGCTGCAGCTTTTTGATTGGCTTTCATTTCTTGAAGAAGGCGACGAAGAAGTAATATCATTATGGGATTGGTTTTCACTTCAAGTCAGACAGCAATATGTCACTTGATTTGCTATCACATTTACTATTTTACTTCAAGATCCTGTCTGGACAAAGAGAGACTATTATGTAATAGTTTCCGCTGAAAATTTTCTACATTATTTATAAATACTGTTCAGAATAAAGCTTGCATCATTAAGAAGTATGTAGGCGTGCCGTATGTAAATAAACTGTCGACGATAAATTGGAATGATTTCGGTGTGTTGTGCTCCGAAGTCTTTATCAACCTCAATTAACAAATATTTGACAACACCGCATGCTAAGTGATCCACAACGGAAAAGACCAGTGAAGCCTCTGAAGTGAAGACAGAAAGTAAGACGCGGAAGGCTACCTACTATTGTAACAACAGAAGACAAGGGCCAATAAACTGATCATTTATTTGGGAAATCAACAGATATTCATGGATTTTCACGTACATTATTATAGAGTATTGTAAGAAAACAAACACAGTCTTCTAATTGGTGGTTTCTCGCTGAACGTTAATCTTTCATCTCTTTGTGGCCGGCCGTTTATTGAAGTTCAGATCATCTATCTGCTAATCGTATCCGCCTACGCAAAGTCTGCTGTGATTGGTTGTTGAATCAATCCTTGTTCTTATATTTCTCACGAGCAATATTGGGGACGTAAACATTGACGTAAATTACTGTCTACCAATTTTGGCTGGCAGCCAGCTCTCACCACACTACCACTGGTGATATTCTTGTGGTAGAACATGGGGAGCGGGGAATTTAGGAATATGGTGGATTCAGAAGAAGACTCTTGGATACATGAACTTCGAGGATGGTTTATGTCTAATGTTATATTAATTCGAAGACCCATTGGGAAAAAATCAACGAGTTGGATGGAGAAGTAGCAGTAAAGGTAGGGCTTCAAGTGAACATAGAGAGGATAGAGGTGAAGAAGATAACCAACCAATTATCAACGGCAGACATATATCTGTGGTGAGAGCAGGCTGCTAGCCAATCGGTAGACATTAATTTACGTCAGTGTTTATGTCACAAATATTGATCGTGAGAAAATATGAACAAGACTGATACAACAACCAATCACAGCAGATTTTGTGTAGGAGGATACAGTTAGCATATAGATGATCTGACATTCAAGAAACACTCACAAAGAGATGCAAGCTCAACTGTCTGTGAGAAACAACCAATCAAAAGAATGTGTTTATTTGCTTGAATAAGCTATAATAATGTACATGTAATTATATAAATACGTGTTGATTTTGTAAATAAACGATCTGTTTCCTGGCCCTTGTCTTCTGTTGTTACATATCAAGGCAGAAGTTTTTCTATGAGAGGCAATCCACACAAACGGGAATATCAAAACCAGAATCGGATAAGCAAGACAGACCTTCATCACTCGGGAATCAGTTTGGAAATCGGATCAGCTCAGCATAAAAAACAAGATTTTTAGATTTTCATCATCAATGTTAAATCATTTCTTCTACATTGGGTCAAACACCTGGCACGCGTGTCACGAAAAGTGTTTCCAAAAAGGCTGTTTTAGACTTTTGCCAACAGCTTCCCACTTCTCTGGTTCCGTACTCAAGATCAAATGGCCAGATAGCCAGAAAGGATAAGAGACAAGGAACTCTGAACATGAACCAATCAGAAACCAATTAGCTGAGCGAATATTCCGGAGATAATGGAGATGGGTCGGAAACATGCACGCTGAAGAAACTATTGACTGATTGATATGGCATTTAGTGCAGGCCCTTCTAGTGGAACCTGAATGGGAAATGATAAATTAGGCGTGTGCCGGAGATTGACATGGAGGAGATCATTGTGAGTTGCAGGAGATGAGTGCTTACATACAACATGTTGTCGATGGATGATGCACTTCAGTGTACTCAATTTCATTAATCTACCAGTATATATATATATATATATATATATATATATATCGCATTCAAAAGGAATCAGTTACAAGTGGTAGACTGCTCTACGACACTTAGTCTTCTTAAGATTTGTTCAGCTAAGTGATTAATATTTAGGTAATTGTTTTAATGAGACAGTGACGCGCTTTTCGATTAATACGCTACATTTACTTAGTTACATAAAACTCTTGTTTCTGTGGAACTTCTTGCCAAGAAGCTGTGGAATATATCGTTATTATTTGCCTTTCGAATACTGTATCTGTGGATATAATATTGTCGACCAATAATACCTATAACTATCTACTTGCCATTTTGCGACTGTCTAACACTAACTGATATTTATAATTGTGTATGTTGATGGATTTCACCGATGACATATGTCTAATTTCTCACAAACTGGAAGATATGCAAGTCAAAAGCAGCAAGTTGGCAGAAGAAGCATCAAAGAGTGGACATCACTTTAGGTGAACATAGAGAAAACACAGGTGATGAAGATTCTTGGTCAACACCAACAGCAACAACAACAACAGACAACAATCAGCCAGTGTAAATGGGAGAAACCTGAAAGAAATAACTTCCTTTACCTAACTACCTACCCGGGAAGCATCGTTTCAACTACAGGCGGATGGAACTGATGAGGATATCAAAGCAGCGACGATCGGAAAAGCAAGACAAGCTTTCATTACTCTCAAGTCTGTGTAGAGGTCAACAGCACTCACCATGAAAATGAAAATACGATCCGGATTTTCAACTTCAATGTGAAGTCAGTCAGTGTTACTGACTATACGGATCAGAGACTTGGCGCGTCATGAAGAGCACCTCAAACGAATTACAGACCTTCGTCAACAGCTGTCTTCGCTTAATAATCAAGATCAGATGGCTGACCAGAAAAGATCAGAAACAGAGAGGGATCTCTGGCAATGAGCGAACCAACTCAGCCGGAACCGATTGTGCAACAAATCTGGAGGAAGAAATGTAGTTGGTGGATTGGCCATACTCTGAGAAAACAAACCATCTAGTGACATCACTAGACAAGCCATTGCTCGAGTGGAACCCGAAAGAGAGGCGGCGAGTTGGTCGTCACTGTGAGGGTGGGGTGACTTGGAGGAGGTCATGTGAAGAGGAGGTGAAAACATGTTGGCAGACTTGGAGCCAGGTGAAAACTCTAGCAGAGAACCGAACGCAATGGAGACGTGCGTGGCTGAAGCCCTATGTTCCTCTAGGAATTAAAGGAAATAATAATAATAAATAATAATTATTTTAAGGCACCACATCAGTATTAGAATAATCAACCTACCGAAGCTTTTGTTGTAGCATATATTCCAAACAACTACCAGTGGCGAAAACGCAACCTTTCCCCTTCCCCCAACTGAAAGACTGTGATAATGCATAGTTGGCTACATACCAGCTGAAAGGCGAAAAAATAACAAATAAACAGTCATGCTTAAAGAAATCATACCCCTCTGTTTGTTACAAAATTCCAAATTTTTTTGTTTGGTCTCATCAAACAGGGAATTTCTACGTACAGTTTTTCTGAATGGTTACCCTGCTATACTAGAAATAGTCCAATAATAAAGCCGTTTCAAGTTAGATTACGGAATAGTGTCAGTTAGAGAGGACCATTGAAAACCAAGGAGTAATGAACAATTCTGTTTCGTCCTAGTTCGGGAGTCTTCAACAGAACACACCCACTACCAGACTCATAACCCACGACCTTCCGGTTACCAGGAAAGCTCGAAGATCACAGAGTCACTGGGACTTGATCCAGTCCATGAACTATAACTCCTACCAATTCGTGATATTAGCGCAACTAACAACTAGTGTCATTGGCGGGTGTTTTGCCTCACTTGCTTCTGAGTGGACCCGAATGGTGAGCGTCAGACTAATTCTCAAGCGATAGTTTGTAGGGATTTGGAACAAACTTGAAACGCATCACATCCTTATGAAGTGACTAATGAAAACTAATTTGATACACCCTAGCGACTGGCTACACAAAGAGTTTGACTGGAGTTCTAGTCAGAAGTCGTAACCAGTGATATCTGCCAGGTTGGGAGTAAGGATAAATATTCACCGATGACGTTGGATGGTGCCAGTTGCGATAAAATCACGGATTGATAGAAATGGGAATTCGTGGCTATTGGTTTCGATCCTAGTATCTGAATGATCTGCATACTTTTTCTTGCATCTGGAATGCCTTGAGTTTGAGGCCTAAGGGTACTTCCTAGTCTCCCATTGGTTCTCTAACTGATATCAATCCGTAGTCAAGCTTGAAGCAAATGAAATTTCTACAGGTTAACTCTTCAAAACAGCTATGAGAAGTGACATTTATCAAGTTCAACTGCTGCCACCACATATTTAAGGAATATTTGTGCTTGCCTGACAAATGTAGTAAAGCTAAACTCCATATTTGTCTTATGCTGATGGCTAGGGTAATAATTAATACCTGTAGAAGACGTTATTATTAACCCCCCAGTTAGGGTTGTTGTTAGGACGAGGCAAAACATGCAATTATCAGGTCATTATCATGTCTCAGCCAAATTATTAGCGTGTCGTTGACATGCATTTGTTTCTGCTTTCTGATTGGACGCTTGCACAATTCCAAACTCTCAACCGGATTGGTTGATTTCCAGTCTACCTTATTTTTGTATAAATACAGTCACTTTTGTCATAATAAATGATTCTGGTTTTACCTCTGATTATCGCATGTTCTGCTTTATCTGTTAAGTGGGCACTGGTCAGTAGTTAGGCAGTTACCTCTTGACAAAGATCTAGCATCATAACAGTTGTAACCAGATATTTGAGAGGAAATGGAAGAATTGAGATACGGTGAATCCCTATCCTCTGTGACATTTCTCCATAAATCTTTCTATGTCAATGATAAACATATTGGAAAATATTATCATACAAGTTGAAAAAACGCTTAAGTCAAGGTAGTCTATATTGGGAATCCTAGGACCAACCCAAATAATGGTGAAGGATATAAGCTGTGCGTCGGTGGCACAGCGGTCAGGACGCTCGCCAACCATGCATATGGTCCGGAGTTCGATCCCCGGCCACAGATGCACTCCTTCACCTCGCTAAGCCAGTAGTGAGATTGGTAAAGCGGAAAGGTTGGGCATGAGGCTAGCAACCACATCCTGTGAAAATTAACACTGCTACAGAAACTTCAAACCTCTAGCTTAGAGCCCTATGTTCCACTGGGAACGTGAAGGAAAAAAAAAGTATAAAGTTGATCACAGGGTACACAATCATTCATTAATTTAGATTATAGCTTTTGTGGGGGTTTTGGGTTAATTCCAGCTGATAGATTTTCGTCACGAATCAATACCAGTTAGAGAGGTTATCAAAAAGCAGTTAGGTGCACTAGACAACAGTCTTGTCATATGTTGAGACTCTCCATCAGTACAAACCCACGATACCTTCAGGAATCAAACTCGGGACCTTCAGGTTACAAGATCAAGCTCAGTAACCATTTAGCCACATGAGTAGGAAGTCAATGACCCCTGAGTTCATACCTTATCAACTTTTGACCGGCGATGCACTTGGCAATGTCTTTGATGAGCGCCTAATTCAAATTAATATTAGTGAATTCTACCGTTCCGCAGATATGCTTTTATTCTTCATCTGTCCGAATCGGACTTCCATAAAATTAATAGTATTTTACCCAGAATCTTCACTTATCCATCCAAATCTACAATGTTGTCTTTGAATTTTATAAGAGAATAGTTTATCATCTAAGTCCTCGAAACGGTAGGAAATAAACTGACAATCCAAAAGTTGTCAATTTGATTTATTACATGATCAATTCTACCAGTTAGCTAGCCAGCCAGCCAGAAATAGGGTGATTTTAACTGAATCGGATGTCTCAGCAGAGTCAAACCGAGTACACTGCTGATAGCCTTGGCGCCAAACAGGTGAAACGGTTGTCAACTGTAGGAAATACACTGTCTGAACAACTGTATGCTCGTAATTGTTCTATGTTAATTAATATTTAAAATAAGCAGCTCCGTAAAACTTCGCGGTGATATTTCGTCAAGAGTTATTCACTTTTCATGTTTATGGATACGACATTAGAAGAAGTAGGCCATAGTATCATTCTTCCATTTAGCTGTGTTTCACTAGGCAAATGTGTACTTCCCTTTCTCCTGATCCATCTGCTAATAGTATAACGTGATCTAAAAATCATTTGAGCTTAATTTCAGCTATCAATACGTACTATTTAATTCAAATCGGACTTCCCCGTTCACCGATTGGACCGAAGTGCTCGGTCTCTATGGTGACATGTTGGCTAGTTATGCAGATACTCAGACGATGTCTGAGAATTTAACCTCAAGTATTTTGGTGGATGGTGACTAGCAGAGGCCAACCTCCTCTGTCCAATCAATCAACGCAAAAGCACGAATTGAATTATATATTAACTGATACCAATTGCACGAGAGGTGATAGCTGTCGTGGCCCAAATGATCTAGTACGTAACGCTTTGGCATTTGAGACTATGGTGGGAACACCATCACTGGTTAGGGAATGCAAATACATCCAGTAGCCAACGATTCCCAAATAGGACAGATAAAATGCGCATCCTGGATCCACCAAAATAATACTTAATGTTTAGATTTAGGTAAGAACTTAGATGGTTAATTTTCGGCATAAATTTAAAGAGTAAAACCACTCCTCCATTTTAGTATATATGAGTGTGAATAACATACAGAGATAATCTGCAAGACTTACCCAGTGTCTTCCATCATTGCCAGTGTAATCGGTGAAATACGATATGAATTTGTAAATGTAGCTGTCATTAGATCGTTCTGTGAAAAAATTTCAAAAAATATATCAATATACTCACGCTACTTATAAGTAGTCTGACTAAATTGAACAAAAGTGTTTAAGGGAACAGCACAATTAAAAAGGTGAATAAAGATTCTAGTATAGTTACTGTACTCCGCTCAAACCCCATCCAGTATATATAATAAGTAATACTTTTTAATATCATAAAAACTGCGCAAGAAAGAAAAATGAAACTTTGAAAAATTGGTATACGAAGTAAACTGTCCTTGGGCTGTTATTCGGCGGCGTGTTTGAATGTTAGACTATCTAAACCTCCGTCGACATACTGCATCTAATTTATGGTGTTGTATTTGTATTTATGTGCATCAGAATATGACCTCTCATTGTATTATTTACTCTTATGAGTTTTTAGAGGGCTTAAGACCAGGTGGTTTTCATGTTTCCAACAAAGCTACGAAAAAGCATCGTGGTAGTTGACTACGAGCGCTAAAACACACACATCCACATCGTGCTATTGTTCCTGTTATCATTAGTTTCAGCTGGCTTTCTCTCCCCTGCAAGATTATATGCGTGCAATCTCTCTTGTTCTCTGACACTTATCACAGCACAGTTATAATCAATCATCCGACAAGAAACTTAGCTCCATGAGCTTTATTATGACAGTCTTGTCTATCTCTGAATCGTTTCACACTATTAAGATCGGCTTTCTTCCAAAAAGAAATGTGGAGGTGGGGTTACAAATTTTATTCATTCCCGGTGGTCAACTTCAGACAATGTAGGTTTCACATTCTTGAGGGACTTTATTGCTTGGTGTTACAATCACATGTCGTCCAAAACAATCACCAAAGCATAAACACTTTTTTGCCTCAAACATTTACGTTACCCCTTGTCTGTTCCCACCCGGATCTGTCTAATCTTGCAGATGAATTCACACTGTTTTTTTTTACTGTGTATTAAGGCAGATTTTTTTCTGCTGTGCTTACTGAAACTGGAGTCCCTCAAAGTTCTGTCATCTTAACTTTTCTTTTTTCCTTCTTCTTATTTGATTTGTAATTTTCGAATGAAATCAACTTAGTTAAATACGCTAACGACCTCACTGTCTGTCTGCGAGCTACATCCTAATCTGGCTATTCCAAACTGAATAGCTTTTTGTTGGATATCAACCAATGGTCTAAGCTAAATGGTCTTCTGTTAAACACCTCTAAATGTCAGACAGTTAACTTCACCTTCAAACATAAACCTGATCTACACGAGCTAGTTTGTTCACGCAATGCCTGAAACATAGAGAGCACTACTAATATAGAAATTACGTCAATCATTAAACACATCGAAGTAGTTCTTTCCTCTGGTATTCATAAATTATCCTATTTCTTGTTGATTTCTAAGAAAATGCTCCGTCTAATCTCCTACATTGTGAAGTTAAAACAATCTGGAATCACTCAACCTCTACTTTTATAGTTTGTTAACTCTTTCATCTTACTTATTGTTCCTTCTTTATTGCTTCACCCCTTAGTCTTTCCTGGGCTACTTAAAAAAGGACTATGTCATATTGTGAAGGCTTTTAAGACAAGTGGTGTACTACTAAGTCAGGTCACCCGTTACTACTGCAGTCGACAGACACACCTGAACTCATGTATGAGAAGTGGTCTAAATCCATATTGTCAGACACTCAACACCCTATTTATTCACAGCTCTCCCTTGACTGCATCTCATCAGATAGGACTAGAAGTTATTTCAAACGACTGTATGCTCGTACAACCACGTACAAAAACTCAGCGATATCCCATTTGACCCGCGCTATGTGTGATGGATAAATTGTTAGGCGAGAAACGTATAACTTACTAAGTATATATACATCGAGTATTATATACCGAAGTCCGAAGTCATTATCACGTACAGTTCGCTTACGTTTCCTACACATAGCTGGAGCTGTTGCAATAAGATCGACTAGACGGGAACTTCGTATCCAAAAAGAACACGTCCAGACGCTGTTCCTACCGTGGCCAAACTTGGATTGATGATTCTTCTTCTCACCAAGAGTGCTACTTCCCCTTAACCCTCTTGGTTCTTTTTCCTTTGCTTATTATTATAAATATTATTATTACACTTATTATTATTCGTCATAATTTATGCCCTTCATGCAAACATTCCCTCAATACTATCGAATTTTTCACTTATACTATCCGGATTTATTATTGGTGATATTAGCTCTTTTCTCAATATATGCCTCCACCTGTTTCTTCATTTCGCATATTCGTTATTTCATTATGAACCTCTCTCATTGCAGTCTTACTAACTCCTGTTTAACACAGACCACTTTGTACTAGCCACTCACTCACCTGACACTTTCGATAACCTTGAACTGACTTGTCAATTTTCCTACACCACACTCTACAAATCTATTATGATTAATCACCACCGTCATTGTCTCCCGTTTTACAATATTTTGGTAATCGATTTCAGCCAACTAGCACGTTTGTCACACAAATACGACTATTTATTTTGACACCCCATCAGTGGTAATCTGTTAATCTACACTAAAAATGTATGCACCGCATAACTAACTGGCTATCATTATTGTAACGACAACGAATATTATATTTTATAATTGTAAGAACCTGAAGAGAAGGATGTATTGAGAAGAATATTCTTCGTTCAGATTGACTTTTAATTCATGTGATATGGAAATATTTCACACTATCAGATACTATGCAATTAGCAAAATAAATAACTCTTTTACCTTCTCCTATTTGTAATTTTAGGTGACACTATTTCAGTTGCCGTATAACTTTAATTATTGATATTATTTTATACTTTTTGTTGTTACTACAAATGATAAAAAGCCGCCATTATCAATTTTGTTTATTCATATCATGTAATTTCCCTTTCTGTTGTTGAGTAAATTAGATGGAACAATATTGTACCGAATGCTAAGAATTAACTATGGTAGCCGTAGAAAATATGTCAGGCTTTTACCATCAGCAGAGCTTTTCAGAGCACCAAGTGTTATTTAATTACTGGAAAGAGGAAAAGTTAATCCCCAAGACCAAGATTCAGACTTTTTAATGCAGAGCCTCAAATTCTTGTTTATAAATGAAAACTCTACCATCAGGAATACGTCATTGTTTATACATTTTATTTATTTATTTATTTTGATTACAGCTTGATTCCACACTGTATTTTTGGTACATGTATGGAATTTTCAGCATGGATATCGGTAGCTCAAATTTTGCAGGCCGACCATAGATATCAGGTGTGCGTTGTTATGTACTGGTCGAGTAATTAATAGTCCTGACGCAAGAAGGTGGTAATCAGTAAACCACCAGGTTCACGATGATACTTGTATTTTTCAAACAAGGAAAATCAATGTCACACAAGTGTATGAGCGAATGTTCAAAAATGAACGAATCAATAGACAGTCTTAACATGATTGGTTGTAATGTCATATGACAACAAGGTCATACATGTTTGTTTAGTTAGTGGACAGACAAAAACATATTGTCAATTATAATGGAATATCGATCCATATATACATAGCAAAATATAACAGACTGTCAAAAACAAACACACATATTATGTGGATACATATCATGCGTCGGCAGGGGATCGAACTCGGGACCACGCGCATGGTCGGCGAGAGTCCTAACCACTGTGCCACCAACGTACATACATAATAAAAAGGTTAAATATATATTCGTAGTTGGCAAGAGTTTAGAGAAGTTTTTAGAGTAAACGATTCTCAATAAGCTAATTTGAAAATTAGTGTTCTAAACATGTTGATACTTGTCTGTGTTGGAATACCTAACCAAGAAACGGTGCATACCCACCCATCTACATATATACAAATACCAAAATAAAGTTGGAATGCATCGGTGAATTCTAAAATTTTCATGTATTGGTTTCGTAGGGATTTTGTTTGATTGCATGGAGGATTTAATCATGAGCTGACATCAGTTAGAGAACCTGGGAGTACTGGACAGCTGTTTCGTCCTAGTTTGGGACTCTTCAGAAGTACGCACCCACAGGGGTTCGAACCCAGGACCTTCTGGTCACAAGGCGAGCTCGTAGACCTTTGAGCCACTGGGACCCGATCCAATGATCCTTGAATTCTAACTTCTGCCAATTCACGATATAGCGCGACCACTTCGCAATGTCTTCTTCGATGAGTTACTGCCTCATCTTCAACCTGTTGTATCCTACTGGTCACGGCTTCCCACTAGAACCCCAGGTTAACTGCCTGAATAGGCCAGTCACTAGTGACCATCAGATTAATTTTCAAGTATTGGTTTTTGTAGGGCTTTTGTTTGATTGCATGGAGGATTTCATCATGAGCTGATATCAGTTAGAGAACTGATGTCAGCTCATGATGAAATCCTCCATGCAATTCTAAAATTCCAAAAACAATATTTTAAACAGATAGATTATTTTCAGGAATACTATCCCTTTTTTATTTTAAAGATCCATGTTCCAAACAATCGCCAGAGAGAAACTTCATCCCATCCCCTGCAGTTCTCGACAGTTGACTCCGTGATTGCCCACAGGCTCTTATCTTTTGCTGCATGTCAACCTTCAGACACATGCCCAACTCGTCGTCTCGCATTCATCTTCCTTGTCTAGCGATGGCGCCCATTGTGCCTTACGTCAGTCAGCGGTCTCTTCAGCTTGTGTGCCCAGTCCACTTCCACTTTCGTTTCACTATTTTTAAGGTGATAGGTCCCTGGTCGGTTTATTCCCATAGTTTCTCTTCCTTCTAATTCTTTTTAGCCATTTGGTCTTCAGTATAGAGTAAGCAAAGTATTAACCTGTTAAAAATGCTTTTCATGAGGCATCAAGTTTCTGACCCATGTGCATGAAGTTAGAGACCCTATTCTGAAAAACCATCACTTGAAAGCAAAAAAAAATCTATAAGAAACAAACTTATTCTTCTCTAAAAATGAAGAGATTCAGTGATGCAGACTGGAGAAGGCCTTTTGGCAAGCTAACTGATGTATCCTCTACCTATGGAAGCAGAAATAAGCACGGGGATGTGGAAAATTTTCCGTGATCAATTTTGAGTAGATTATACCAAATAAAAAAGGTTATACCTCTAGAAGACGTTTTTCCCAATGAGTTAAATATACACCAGCTTCATCTTCGTCTTCTAACTCGACACCGTCAAGAGTTGGACAGTTAAAGAATATTCGGGCAACACTCTATAAAATAAATGAAAGATTTTTGAAACAAATAGAAATGAGGTGATAAATGTGAAGTTTGATAGCTTGACATAAAAAACAAACAAAAAAACAATGATGATTGTGACTACACTACCTCCGAATTACTTCTAATTAAGAAGTAGAATAAACTGGTGGGTGGCGACTAGCAGTATAATCCAGGATGCGTATTTTCTCTCTCCTATTTGAGATTCGTCGACTAGTGGATGTACCTGAATTCCTTAGACAGTGATGGTGTTCCCACTGAGGCTCAAACCCTGTACCTACAGTCTAAAACGCGAAAGCGTTACCCACTAAAACGCTTAGACCATGAAAGCCACCATCTCTTGTTCAACGGGTAGCAGTGATTATTTAGTCCAATTTGGACTTCTCCGTTGATTGATTGGACAGAAGAGGTTGACCTCTGCCAGTCACCATCTACCAAAATACTTCAGGTTAAATTCTCAGAGATCGTCAGAAAATCCGCCTAAGTTGTCAACATATCAACATAGAGGCCGAGCACTTCGGTCCAATCGATCAACGGGGAAGTTCAAACTGAATTAAATAAATAGCGGAATATTGATAAAGCTAAACTGACAGGCTTTATTTGTTTGCAAATAACAACATCACTTCACTTCCTGCAGCATAAGTGATAATGAAATGGAATACAAAATCGGTATCAAATAAATCAGGTGATCTGTCCGGTATGAAGACAACTCTTTCTACTATCCATACAGGTGCAAAAAGTGTCTGATATTCGAATAATTATAATATAATACAATTCATCCTAGTATCTAACTCATCAGCATAATGATTCATTAAACAATATATATATATATATATATATATATATATATATATATATATATATATATATATATGATATATACCCAAATGAATCTAACATTCATGAGTTGTATGACTATAAGGATACATTGTAGTATTATCCCAACTGATAAGTAGGCCATATTAATATATGTGTAAAACTTAGGCACTGTGGTAGTAAGTAATTCCATATTAGTTTGTTGATTAGATGCATCACACAGTCAGTGAAACAGTATTATCATTTACTGGATGACAAGGTTTCGAACAGAATTCATTATTGTTCATAATCATTTCATCAATTATAATCACACAATTTCGAAACTTGACTTTTATAGTTTCCTTTGTCCTCTCCTATTTGTCGTCGTTGGGGTAGTAGAATTTTCCAGATATCAGAGTGGACAGGTGCTGAATCATTCCTATTACACATATTCTATCTGATTTGATTCGATGAAGAAAGCTTCTGTTATCAATCTCCCCCTCCACCAAGCTGTCACATTAGATTTTAAAACTGTCATCCTATCCCATCCAACCTATTGTATGGTTGTGTGTAACTGCATGCAGTGAGTGCTATAGCTGAACTATTCTCTGGATTTCTTATCTTATTTGGGTCAACCAATCTAGATTTTTATGTTCTACTAGTTTGACCTATCCATTTGACCTAACGATCATCTCAGACAGGATATTAGATAAACTGAATTATTTGTTGGCAGAAGAAGCACCCAGAGAAGATAGGGCTTCCTTCAGGTGAACATAGAGAAAACACAGGTGATGAAGATTCTTGGCCAACACCAACAGCAACAACAACAACAGACAACAATCAGCCAGTGTAAATGGGAGGAACCCGAAAGAAACAACCTCCTTTACCTACTCACCCACCTGGGAAGCATCGTTTCAACTACAGACAGACACGACTGATGAGGATATCAAAGCAGCGAGGATCGGAAAAGCAAGACAGGCTTTTATTACTCTCAAGTCTGTGTAGAGGTCAACAGCACTCACCATGAAGATGAAAATAAGATCCAGATTTTCAACTCCAATATGAAGTCAGTACTACTTACTACACGGATCAGAGACTTGGCGCGTCTTGAAGAGCACTTCGAGCTAACTATACGCCTTCATCAACAGCTGTCTTCGCTCAATACTACTCAAGATCAGATGGTCGGCCAGAAAAGATCAGAAACAGGGATGGATCTCCGGCAATGGGCGAACCAACCAGCCCAGCAACAAATAATCAGGAAGAAATGGAGGTAGACTGGCCATACTCTGAGGAATCCATTACGTGACATCACTAGGCAAGCCATCACTCGAGTGGAACCAGGCCGAAAGGGAAGCGGCGAGTTGGTCGTCAGTGTGAGGGTGACTTGGAGGAGGTCATGTGAAGAGGAGATGAAAGCATGTGGGCAGACTTGGAGACAGGTGAAAACGTTAGCAGAGAACCGAACACTCAATGGAGACATTTGGCTGAAGTCCTATGTTCCTCTAGGAATTAAAGGAAATAATAATAAATACTGCCAGAGAATTTCTAGAAGCCTCGTAGTCAAGTGAATTAACAATTAACAAACACATACATATATGATTATAGACCAAATTTGCTAGCTAATAAAAAGTAAATCACATGACCCAAAAGTTCGAATTACAAGTCAATGAAAATGTGATCAATAGAGACGTAAATTAAGATCCTGTCACGACAGTGGTTGCCAAGATATACAATTATATCATTATTCATGAATAATTGAAATAAGTCCATTTCATGCTAAACCCTGAACTATAGATGTTGTCTAGAAGAGCAAACCAGTTCAGAGAATGCAACTAATTTAATCTTCATTATTTCCGTAGTTACTTCTAATCCTACCTGATGAAATGCAAGCAGAGAATTGTGTGTGTGTGTGTGGAGAGAGGATGGTCAGAGTCCGGCAAGAAAATATCCTCTAATTTCTCCCATACGTGTATCTGCCACAGTATGAACAGGTTGATTTAGGGGTATCTCACTCCGCTTTCAATCCCCCTTCGCAGTGTAACTGAATCTTTCTCAAGTAGCGGGAGTAGTGGAGGAGAATAGGTACAATACAGCACTTAACAAGCTGTAATAATAATAATAATAATAATGATCTACCTTATTCCAAAAGTATTACTTATAATACAGCGTGGAATTTTCAGCATTTGTCACAATATTGCATCGAATTTACTCAAAGTATAAAAAAATTAATCACAGGAACTTTTCCATATTTACAGTAGGAATGATGTCAAAAGTGTGAAAGGCATTTTTTATTCCTCCACGTTCTCAGTGGAACAAAGGGTTTCAAGCTAGTGGCTTAAATTTTCTGTAGCAGTGTTTGTTTCTACAGGATAGGGTTGCTAGCCTCATGCCCATCCTCTCCACTTTTATTTCTGGCTTAGCGGGTTAAAGGAGTGTGTCTGTGGCCGGGGATCGAACCCCGGACCACGTTCATGGTTGGCGAGCATCCTAACCACTGTGCCACCGACGCACCATAAACCTGGTGTCATAAGTGGGCTGAGACCTGAAGGCGGCGCCTTGGACGGCTCGGCCATCTTGACAACGTGGAAGGCATAATATGAGAATAATAACTGTAATAATAATAACAGTGGGTTTATTTCAAACAACACTGTCGGTACAGTATGGAAACTTTAGCATATTATAGAATATTGAGTCTAATATTCGCTTGACATAGTATGGTGAGAGGAAAGCCCAACAACAAAAAAACAACAGTTATCACAGAGCTTAAATCGTGTTGACATTTATGGAAAAAAACAAAACAAGAGGACTATAAATATAAGAGGAATAATAACAGTAAAACCTGATGGCTCAAGGATGCAATAAACTGTTTGTAAGATTGTTCCTGCCTGAAACTATTTTCATCACACAAAAATGCGTGGTAAATATGGTATCACCGAAAATACCCATTGACTCGTGAAGAAAATAAAAGACAAATTCAGTGAAGAGAATTTTGTTTATCGATGAAATCATCTTCACAGGATGTACTGTACAGTCGTATTTATAGTTACCAAAAATGTATAGTGGTCTATTATTGAGTAATAGGGTGGGAGAAGAAATAATTGGTATAGTTACTCAGAAATGGCTTCAGAAGTGTGTGTGTGTGTGTTTATAAATTCACCTACTCCTGTGGAGCTAGTTATATTGGCCTCACAACTTGGCGCACACGCTTTCAAAACGCATCTCTGAACATTATCTGGCATGGTTAGCAAAGGGACAGTGCAAGACAATCACTAGCTCAATTCTCGAGCATTTGGTGAACTCAGGCCACATAGCTCCACCAGAGTCGTCTTTCAAGTTCATCTAGAAGGTGAGGTCATTTAGTACAAAGGGCATCAGGTTTCGGCTTTTGGGTATGGCGGAGGCGTTGGTAATTCATCAATACAATCCCGAATTCTGTATACAGAAAAAGTTTGTCCAGTCTCTTATTCTACCTTGGTCTTAACCTCTTCACTAATCGTTCCCTGTAAAACATTTTGATTTTTCATCATAATGAAGGTTTTTTTGTATTTCCCAATGAATGCAAAACAAAACAATATTGTTTTTACTGATGTTTCGTTATTTAATGCTAATAGTTTCATCAAAGTATTATTAAACTGGAATTCACAAAATCTCATCATATATATAATAATAATATATAATAATACTTTGATAAAGCTATAAGCATTGAATAGCGAAATGTCAGTAAAACCAATATCGTTTTGTTTTTCATTCATTGGGAAATATAAAAAACCTTTATTATAATGAATATCATATACCTAATGGCCAAATTTTTTCAAACCGTTAAAAGTGAACTTGGCTTGGACATACATTTTGGTTTTTCTTTTCTTTTTAATTTTACTTTTAGTTTGTTTTTGCTTTAATAATTAATTCACTATTATCACTCTCATATGTTCCTTTTATACATTATCACACCTTCTTCACACTTGTTAAATTGACATTCAAATACCTTTCTTAACACTCAATAGCAATTTTAACCTTATCAAATTTTTATCTTTGTTCCGTTGAGTACCACGTAATGTACAACTTTTAATTTTCACTTCTAAAGCCACTTCTGAGTAATTATACCAATTATGTCACCGCCTATTACTCAATAATAGACCACTATATATTTTTTGGTAACTATAAATACGACTGTACAGTACATCCTGTGAAGATGATTTTG